CAACAACAACAACAACAACAACAACAGCAATCAACAAGGACAAATCGCAAAAAGCATAATTGCCCTAAATTTCTGCGATTTTTCCTCAATGAGCAGCTGATTTTGGAATGATAGTGATCTTAAGTTTGCCACGTCAAGGTAGGTCAGAATTTTCCATTTTGTGCACATACCCCGTAAATTCCAAGCACGCGCTGCTCTGTAAGGACTGACTCTTCCCCCTCCTGTGTCTTCTTTCCCGTACTCCGTCCTTAGGCTGGCATCCTGGCAGCAGACGTGGACCTGTTTTCCGGTGCTAGAGGAGAGGGCCATTTGGTCTTCCTGCCCTCTAGCTTGTGGCTGATTCTAATTCCCCCTGAGTTCTAGTGTTTTCATGGACGCCGAGCTCCATGACTGATATGGATAATTCTCCTGGGTGGTAGAGCATTAATAGACAAACATGACTGCCAGACCCCTCTATTTGTCACTCCTGGTAGACCAGGACTTGAAGATTCCAGGCTTTTGCTGGCTCAGCACTGATGTTGTTAGAAGCTAATACGTTGACTATGACTCACAATGACCCTATGTACAGCAGATCTGAACCTTGGCTTACCCTGAGCCAACCTCACAACCACTGGACACCAGCATTTCCCACCTCCCTTTCTTCCTCCTAGGGAACTCTGGTGACCTGATCGATAGAAAGTTGCAATCTCACCCCCAAGCCAGGTGGTTTGAATCCACCAGCTGCTCCATGAGGTAACATCCTCCCGTGTGATTTATAGAGTCTGAAAAACCCTCTAGAGGGTCAACTACTAGTTGTCAACTCAGCATTGAACTTTTCCTTCTTACTAAGGAGCTCTGTGGCCTAATAGGATGGAGCTGTGCTGTCCACTCAAAGGCACACAGCTCAAATCCACCAGCTGCCCTGCAGGAGAAAGATGAGCAATCAACTCCCATGCGATTTACCGCCTCTGAAAACTGGCTGCAGGGTCAGCTAGGCGTCTGTTCTGGCTTGATGGCACCTAACAGCAACTCTGAGTGCTGTCAGTGGTGTAACTCACCCAGTCGTACCAAGTACCGCAGAAGAAAAAGCCCGGTGATCTGCTTCTGTAGAAAGATTATGGCTGAGAAAGCCCTGTGGAGCTATTTCATCTTCAGACACATTGGACTGCCCTAAGCCAGTCTACTGACAGCAAGGGGCGTGCTTGGCCCGCTGTTACCACCAGAGGGAGCTCTGGTGGCGCAGGCCTGTTATATATCCTGTTATAAATGCATAGAGATTCTGTGGCCATTTGAACCTACAGCTCCTCCTCGGGAGAAAAATGGGCAATTTCCTCCTGTGCGATATACAGAATCCTGCTGCAGGTCAGGGATGAGTCGGTTCTGACTCGATGACAGTGAGGAATTTTGTCCAAAGAGTTATTATCCTTAAGAAACTCTATAACCTGATAAGTTCATGTATGCAAGTGTTCTTATTTTTAGTTTGGACATAATATCGAATTTACAGAAAATTCACAAGAACAGCACTAGAACAACCATACTTTGTGTTCTGCTTTCCTTCCTTTTTCTATCTGCATGCGTGAT